GTAATTGAAATGTGGCAGGTAGTTTACACACAAGAGGGAGTAATTGTATTGGAAATAACTGTTCATAACCAAATTTTAAAAGCTCATTTTTCCTAGAAACTTTTAATAAAGAAAGCAAGATAATAATGATATTTAGCATTTGTGCCATCCACAGCAGCATTTTGTCTCTCTAAATTGCCAACATTTCATTCAATATTGCTAAACCACACCCCTTCAGCTATGAATGCAGCCTGAGGCAAAAAACGGGGGAAAAAACTGAACAATTGAAGTAATTTGTTCCTGTTCAATTAAAATAATAAAATATGGCTGAACTTCATGCTAAGGGATGAAAACCTCAGCAGCACATGCAGGCACAGAATTATTTAGGTCAGAAAAGACCTCTAAGATCATTAAATCCAACCACTAACCCAGTACTGCCAATTCCACCCTAAACCCTGTCCCAAACCAGCACAGCTGCACAGATCTGTAAACATCTCCATGGATGGGGCTCTCCCAGTCTGGAGGAACATGCAAAGTCTGGCTCCTGAATACCAAGCTGCAGAATATTTTATTTACAAAACTAACCTGAAGCCTTTACTTTACATGATTCTTAGAAAACAGCTCTCCAGAAATTTCAAGCCTTGCAGGCTGATTGGGGAAAAATATTATTATTTTCTATTTATTACAGTTCAAAGTCCAGTAGAGCCTGCCAGTATATGACTACATATGCAAACAGCTCCTACTACCAAAAAATACAATCCATAACAAGCCATAGGAAGACTGGGAAAATCAAAGGAAAAGCAAAGGTCCTCTATGGTTTGATGGGCAGACTAGTAGGTGGGTGTGTGACATTTAAATGCAGCCACAACAGGACACAGTCCTCATCTCTCCTGTTTAAAGCTCTGCCTGCTGCCTAACAGGCTATAAAGGGGTACTAATGGAGACTGCTTCAGACTCCTAGCACCATTTAAAATACCAGGCATTGTGTGCTACCCCTGTGCAAAGAGGTCCGTGCACTGTCATTGCCCATTATCAGAGCTTTCTAGCTTTGGACTGCTTAAAATAAGGATATTGGTTTACTGTGTTTATGTAAGCACATCTTTTCTTGTAATATCCAGAAACTAATACAACGGGAAGCTTTTAAAAAAATGCTTTAAGTTCACTAGTAATAGGTGAAATAGAGACTCCCAGCACATCATTGGTGTGCAGCATCAAATATCTGTGCTAATATGCACAGTCACAGGCAATGCTGCTGCTAGAGCTGCATCACTGGCTGCTAATGCAGGTGGACCAGAAAGAGGAGGTTGTTAAGCACTCTCATTCCAGCTTTATAATTAAGTTGGGACTCACAAACCCATGCAGGGGCTGTGCCCACCTCAGCCAAGCTCTGGGCAGCTCAAGGTTGAGCCCGCCACAGCTGGAGGCTTAGAGCAGCGCAGCTGGAGGTTTAGACTGCCACAGCTGGACATTATCATCACCACAGCTGGACATTATGATCATCACAGCTGGACATTATCATCATCACCACAGCTGGGGGCTGAGCCCACCACAGCAGGTTTCCCTCTCCAGCTGCAGGTGAGCCCCGTGCCACATTGGTGTGACTGCAGGATGCAGCTGCGGCCGTGTGGGACCTGCAGACTGAGTGTTCAGTCACAACCCACAGGCACTAACAGCACTTCCCCAAGTCCAGTATGGGCAAACCACAGACCTAATAGCAGCCTTGTCCAAGGTCTGAATGAAGCAGGGCACTCTCTAAGTACCACTGGAAAGTTGAGTGCTGCATGGCGGTTTTTACCTCCATTAGGTTAGGCCACCTTGAGGGTACATTAGGGTTTCAACCAAATTGGTGGCTTTGGTCCAGACTCATTCTGTGGTTTGCCTTAAAAACCCAAGTAAGGTTTAGGGCAGCAGCCTGGCCAGAGCTCCCTGCAGCCCCAGAGCAGCTCAGCCCTGGTGTGAATGAGCACAGCAAATGGACCTGGCCATGGGAACCAGCTGTGGGACAGGCAGGTGACATTGGGGGTCCCCTCTAGGCCTGTTTTTTACACAGCCTGTGCTGGATAAAGGCATTTGAAACAAACAGAGTATCAAACAGTACATGAGAAATGAATGATTGCTCTAGAGAACAGAGCAGACAGTGACCAGCTGTCCCCACACAGGTGTGACACTGCTTTGACAGCCCTGTGTAAGAGGCAACAGCCCACAGATACATTTGTTTAACCCTTGAACATTAAAATAAAAGCAAAACCTAGAATTAATTAGTGATGCTTGCTTGTTAACAGCCACTGATTGGAAGTTTATGGTTTGATTTCACAGGAGTTGTCTCCAGGAGCACAAGCCAGGAGGGCAGACAGAAGGCACAGAAAGGGAGGCCAGGGCTGGACAAGGAACTGGAGTGGATGGACACTGCCACAGCAAGTATGAGGAGGTGTTTTTGTATCCTGAGATTGTCTTGTTTCATCTCTTTCCCCCTTCTCCACTCTCCACTATCAGCATTTAAAACACCCCTGAGTTTTCCTGAGCAGGTTTGCTGTGCTCATTAAAATACTGTGAGCACTTATTGGCTATAATGAGCATCATTAAATTCTGGTAAGCACCAGGACTGTTCTGTGGAGTTGAACAGACTCAGGTTCTGGAAGGAGAGCTCAGGAGAAGGAAGGTGCTAGAAATGTTACATTTTCCAGAAGAACAGAAACACAAACCTTCCTCTCCTTTCTGCTGTGCGAGCACTGGGATAACTCAGACCTGTCAAGCAGCAGCTATTGCTCACTGACTACTCAGATCACTCCCCTGCCCCAGAAGGACTCTCAGCTCCCCTTATCAGAACAAATGAAAGATTTTTCCATATCTGCAACTGCTCATTTGATAATCTTCCTATGTTTGTTATTTAGAGATAAAAGTCTGCCTCTAAAAACTCACTTAGCCAAGTGGTTTTCTCAGCCTCAGGGAGTGGTGCAGGAGGGATTGCAGAGCAGGATCCAAAGCAGCTGTTGAGGCTGCAGGAGCAGCAGGAGATCAGGAGATGAATGGGTGCATACTGGGGCAAGACTCACATTTTACATGCCCAGTTCCTGTATTTATTTCCAGCTGGCGGTGCCAGAAACACTCACCCTGAGTAGTGTGGCCATGCCTACAACCATAAAGCTGCTCCCACTGCAGGACTCAGCAGCACCACCTGTGTTTTTATCACCAAATGCTGTTCATCATCCACTAGCATTAGTAGATATGAATTAACTAAGCCATACACAAATATGCTTTACCCTGGAATAATCCCCAGTAATCCGAGGGCAAGTGAGGAAACAGAATCAGACAAGAAATTGAAGATCAGTGCACGGCTCTAAAAACCAGTCTGTATCCTATGGGGGGGGACAGAGCTGCTGGAAATGGAAGATTTCTGTGCATGGCTCTAAAAACCAGTCTGTATCCTATGGGGGGGACAGAGGTTTCTGCACACATCCCTGGGATGTGGCACTTGCACCCGCCTGCAAAATGCAGTGCGTCATGAGAGGGCAGAAAGACCACAGATGTTCACCTGACTTTCCAAGCAACCTGTAGAGAATGACTGACCACCACCAATCAGCAAAAAAGCATCCGACTGATGTTGTGTTATTAGAAAGAAATAGAGCTGTATTCCTGAAAAGTGATACTTTAGAAATCCTTTTGTTTTGTTCTTGGGTTGATACCCACAGCACTGCCTGTATGTTGAATGATCAACTCCTCCACCACCTTGGAAATATCTATTGCTCACCTCCATTAATCTAAAGAGCATGGTTCAGCATTAAATGGGTATCAAAACAGCATCCATTTCACAAGATTAAACAACTGCTCTGGTTAAGCATTAATTGCTCCACTTTGGCCACTCTTTGCCTGCTCACAGGAGCGTTTTGTGGATTACTGCTTTATAATTGCCTGCTCCCTATGCACACAGGCACTGCAATCTTCTGCACACCTTGACAGCAACCTGGTTAGAGAAAATGAACACTGCACATTCCCCTGACACAGCATTTTATCTGCTGGGTACAGGAAGCCAGAGGTTGTTTATTCAACTTCTCATGGCCCATTAATGACATAATTCTGGCCACAGCTGTTTGGGACTGCACAAGACCAAAGCAGAGGAAGAAATGCCAAAAAAACTTCAAACATGCTGCTCATATCAGAGCCTGGCTGGGAAGATCCTTGGAAGCTGTCTAGGCAAGTGTAGATACAGCTCCCTTGGGAAGTAAAACTAGGATTAAAGCTTCAGACTTGGTTTCTCCTGAAGACTCAAACAATCTTACAATGAATAATCTCATCTGAACAAGGTGGCAATGACTACTTTGCAGAAGAGACAACTGATAACTTCATTTTCACTCTGCTTAGCCGATATATCTAGTGAAAAACAAGGATCTACCATACATAAAGGTTCACAAGCCCTGGAAGGGGAAAGCTAACCCTGGCCAGGGAGTCTGAGCAGCAAGGGGGAGCTGCTCCAGGACTGATGTGCACCAAGCACAGCAATACAAGGATAAGGACATGCTCCACCTAAGTACCACAGTCAGGGAGATATCCTGTAAATTTTTTAATTTAATGAAATTGGTTTTGTTCATTGAAATTCTGTTCATGATGCTTTGAGAACTACATCACTATGAATTTTCCTGGTCACCAAAAAAAGCAGAAAAAGTCTAAGAGAAAAGCTCAAACCCATTCCACATCCAAGTTCAAAATAACCAATTTCATTAATTTTAAAACACTTTATAACTGAAAATTGAGGATGGGTGATGTATATTGTTTGCATAAATACATGTATATATACATATACAGCAGATAAGAGGAACACCATTTGCAGTGCTGAGCTGATTCCTCAGCTTGGCAATATCCATCAGAAAGAGAGGATCATTGTGTAAATCTGTTCCTCTCTGTGAAAGGACTGTCCATGGCAATGAAACACCCCATTACTGAAACTGTATCTGAAGCCATGCTCAGCAGTAAGACCAGCACCCTCCCTCATCTTCCCCAGACCTTCCAGGGTAACCCCTACTTACAATTGTGAAGTTCATAACCTTCAGAATCCAGATGGTCATAGCAAGGTTCACCAGGATTAAAATCATTAGGAGCAGCACAAAGAAATAGAGGCACCTCTTCCTCCAGCCATAAATCCCCACTTTGTATACCTGGGGTCCTTCCGAGGTCTGCATGGTGCTCCGGTGCGGGTACTGTTCCTGAGGCATCTGAAATGAGCACAAAGAGACAACCATGGGTATTCAGGGCCAGGAAAGCCAGAGATAAAAACTGCTCCTGTCTGTGCCTCTTGGAGGGTTTGGGGTTTTTTCAGAGTTTACCAGGTGGGTAGCAGCTCTTTGGATACCTTGGTTATTTTTCCTTCTGCCTGATGTGCACAGTAACAGACCAGGAGAGAATGTGATGTGTTAAATGTGTGTGAATGTTCTTATAAATACACGTAAGCACTCTGGCTGAAGGTATCCTATGGAAATTACTCTGGAGTGACTCTGCTCACAGCCCCAGGTTTTGCAAGGCAGGCACTCCAGGGCCTCGAAGGATCCTGAGGGGAAAATTCTGTGTGCGTTGGGTAAAAGCAGTTGAGTTCAGCAGTTTGTTTGGAAGATGCAATATGACTTCTCAGAGGTTTAGTTTAAAAAAACATAAAATATCATCTCAAGCAAAATCATTCCTTCCAACCAAAGACAAAAAAGGCAAAGGGGAAATGTTTGCCTTTCCCCTTCCTGCACACCAATCTTGCCTAAAAAAGTGAAGCTGAAGCAAGGTTCTCCAGCTGCCACATCCTTAACAATTATCACAAATATCTGTGCTGGGAGAAGGGGAAAGGAAAGGGAAGGGGAAAGGGAAGGGGAAAGGGAAGGGGAAAGGGAAGGGGAAAGGGAAGGGGAAAGGGAAGGGGAAAGGGAAGGGGAAAGGGAAG